AGGCCCAGCCCTTAGAGGCCTGGAAGCTTCTGTCTCACTCTTTTGGAGCCCTGAGCCAAGAAGTTGACTATATTGCTGGAGAGAAAATTCCAGCCACAACTTGGCGTTCCACATCTGTTGAATTGCAGGCAACATCTGTGGAAGAAATTTTCTCCAAGTTAGTCTTACGGGACTCCCACGGGTTAAAAGTCAAACATGACTTACAAACACCACCAAGCATGCGAGAAGGCAAATCCACTATGAGTGAGAATCAGAAGAAACAGTATACTTAGACAACACCCCTACCACTACCCTCCACAAAGACAGCAGACGTTGGAAATGTCAAATACAGAACACAGAATGGTTGTGTGTAGAATATTTACAGAAACAGCGCAATTATAAGGGAAAACATACAACAGGAAATCATCAGGATTGTACAAATTGGAAAAAATAGAACTTATAGAAATACAAAGCATAACATTGAAAAAAATTTAATGGACATATATAAAACAGTTATGAAAAGTACTTTGTAAACTGTAAAAAAAAAATCAGCATATTAGATGCTATTGAAAGTAGAATTAAACTAAAAGATATATCCCAGGAATTTATCTAGAGTGCAGCAGAGAGAGACTACAAGAACAAAAAATAATAGAGAGTTGTGAGACATTAACAATAGAATGAGAATGTCTGACGTCCATCTGACTGGAGTCCCAAAGGATGAAATTGGAAAGAATGTAAAGAAGTAATATTTAAAGAGATAATAACTGAGAAATTTCAGAATTGATGCAAACCACAAATACACCAATCCAGGAAGTACAATGTATCCCAAATATGATCAAGAAAAATAAATTCATACCTTGTCATATAGTGAATCTGTTGGACACCAAATATAAATAGAAGATCTGGAAAGCAGAAAGAGAAAGACAGCTTCCTACAAAAGAATGATAATTAGAGTAGCAGCAGATCTCTCAACAACAGAAGCCAGAAGGCAGTGGAATAACTTCTATAAAATAAGAAGAAATTACTATCCACTGAAAATTGTTTACTCAGCAAAACTACCATTCAATAATGGGGGGGATAATAATCTTTGTAAGAAACAAGCACACGAGGAATTTACAAAGAGATCCTCTCTAAAAGAACTCATAAAGGATTTAGTTTACAAAGTAGGAAAATGATCCCAGTAGAAGAGGTAGAAAAACAGGAAAAGTGGACAAAAGAATGGTAACATAAAGGTAAGCCCAAACAAGTACCGTCTCAATAAAGTAATACAGGCTTTTCTAATCTTGGGGGTTAAAAAAGAACTGAAATGTTCAAAATCGGTAAATTGAGAGAGAAAACAACAGTAAGTCAGGAGACAGAAGATCAGAGGTAAGGTGATTAAAATTGTTTTATTGACCATAAAGGAGGGAAAAATACCATCCAACACTAAGATTTTGTTAAGTTAAGTATGCATATTAAAATGTATAGAGTAACCACTAAAATAACAGACATAGATTACAGAAATGCCAAACCAGCGTAAGGGGAAGAGTGGAATAAAGACAGGGAAATCATCCCCAAAAGGCAAGAAACTAGCACTTGAAGTTCTGGCCAGCACAATAAGGGAAGAAAAAGAAATTAGAAGCATAATGATTAGAAAGGAGGAAATAAAAATGTCATTATTTGAAATAATCTGATTAGCCATAGATAAAATAATGAATTTATAGAAAACCACTAAAAAATAATAAGAGAGTTAGGAAAGTGGCTGGATCTTATGATCAGCATACAAAAAACAATTATAATTCTATATACCAGTAAGAAACAGTTAGGAAACATGTATTTTTAAAAGATACCTTTTATAGAGAAAAGAAACTTAAGAATACATCTTATAAAAGATGCACAAGATATACTCTTATAAATTGTAAAACTTTCTGAAGGACTTTAAGGATAACCTAAATGAAGAAATATTCCATGTTCATGCAGAGAAAGATAATATAAAGATATACATATGTACTATACATAGTATTTAAATATATATACGCACACACATATACATATACTTTTTATAAAGTTCAAAACAACTAAAACTACATAACATAATAATTAGATATACAAAGTGTTAACAATTTTAAAAAGCAAGAAAAGGATAGGGGTGGGCCTTGTGGCCTAGAGGTTAAGTTCCATGAGCTCCACTTCAGCTGCCTGGCTCTGTTCCGGGGCACAGACCTACACCACTCATTGGTGGCCATGCTGTGGTGACCCACATACAAAATAGAGGAAGATTGGCACAGATGTTAGCTTAGGGTGATTCTTCCTCAAGCAAAACGAGGAAGATTGGCAACAGATGTTAGCTCAGGGTGAACCTTCCTTAGCAAAAAAAAAAAGGATAAACAAAATTCAGGATACTAGTTATCTATAAGGAAAGGCAGGAAATGGGATGGGGTAATACATAGCTAGCTACAATATTATTAGTGTTTCCGTTCTTGAGTTGTGTGGTGGGTTAATGAGTGATCATCATATTTACAAATAAATGGAAAATATTTTAAGTAACGACTCTTAAGATGTGTTTTTTTGTTTGTTTGTTTGTTTGTTTGAGGAAGATCTGCCCTGAGCTAACATCTGCCAATCCTCCTCCTTTTGCTGAGGAAGACTGGCCCTGGGCTAACGTCCGTGCCCATCTTCCTCCACTTTATATGGGACGCCGCCACAGCATGGCTTGACAAGCGGCACGTCAGTGCACGCCCGGGATCCAAACCAGCGAACCCCGGGCCACCCAGCGGAGTGCGTGCACTTTAACCGCTTGTGCCACCGGGCCGGCCCCTAGGATGTTTTTAAATCCATTAGTTTGCTGCTTGACAAACACATAACCACAACAAAAATGAAACTAAGACATTATCAACTAAAAATGAGAATATTTATCAGATGAATTCAAACAAAAACAAAGCACAAGTTGGAATATTAATGCCATATCATATAATATTTAAGGTAAAGTACATCACATTAACTAAAGACTCTTGTGTGTGTGTGTATATATATGAATAAAATATATTCATATGTATTCAGTAAAATAAATATATTGTTTAGTTATCTATATATTCAGTAAAAGGTACACTTAACAGTGAAGAAATAATAGCAATGAACCTTTATGACACAGCATCAAAACACATGCAGCCACACTTCTGGGAAAATGGCGGAGTATGGCTTGATCATAACTCCCTTCATTTCATAGCTAATGAAGTGAACCAAAACCATTTAAAAACAGTGGGGGAAAAGAGTATTATAATTGCCAACAGCAGTTTCCCAAGAAAGGAAATAGGCCCCACTTAATACCATTAACTGCAGAGAGTGACAGCCAGAGGGTGGGCAGGGGGAGGAATAATCCACACTCACAAAGGGCAACATGGCAGAATTCCTGATGTCATTTATGAAATTATGAGCTTCCAAATCCAGAAAGCATGGAACCAAATCTGTCTCCTTACCTTTTCCTTCTTCTGATTAGATACTGATGAAGACCTCTGGGCAGGGACCAGTAAAGGAGGGCCGTGAGCTGTGTAACAAAGCGAAGTTTTCCAGGCTCCAGACAGAACTGGGAGAACACCCCAAAGCCCACAGTGGGGTTCCCGCATTAGAATGGGGTGCTCCCTGGACCAGACAAGGCACACATAGTCATCCAACCTCTCCACCTTTCCCATCAGCTTCCTTCCTAACCTGAGGGCGCTCTTTCAGGAAACATTTCTTATTATGAAGAAAAATTTGTCTTGAGTTCAGCAATCCCCATCATTTGTTTTTTCCCCCAAAGCCCTAGTAGATAGTTGTATGTCATAGCTGCACATCCTTCTAGTTGCTGTATGTGGGATGCGGCCTCAGCATGGCCAGAGAAGCGGTGCATCGGTGGGCGCCCGGGATCCGAACCC